GTGCTCCAAGACACACTTTTAACTGTAAATTATCATGACACCGAAAACCTGTTAATGTGAAGAAATCCACGTCATCTACACACACACGCACGCACGCACGCACGCTCGCACACACACACCATCCTTTCCAATCCCGGAGTCGAACGACGTCTTCTAACAAACCGTTACTAATATCGTTAAAAACCAGACACAAAGATCCGACAATAAGCACATAGAAAATTTCGTGAGGTCCGCTGGTTCGTTCCGTGGCTTAGTTGGCATAGCGTCTGCCACGGTATGCTAGAAGACGTCGGTTCGAATCCGGCCGAATCGAAGGAATTATTTCTAAGTGTTCAATCTTTGTATTAATAATGATAACAAACTAGTGGAGCAATTTCACAAAAAATAATTGACTGTCATGGTGGTGAACCTCTACAGGTATTAAATTTACATTTATCCTAAAACTTAAAAATTGTCGCGACGCCCGCTGCTCCGTCAGTCGCCATCGAGCGCTTATCGACGTCGGATATTTGTCAAGTTTTCTCCGCCTGTTTTTATTTAATCATATTAATTTTCCGATTGCGGGACGCGAGTTGATATTTAAAAGTGAAATAAGGCCCATTTGCCTGATGATTTGCCAGGGATGGGGCCCTTATTTCGTCTCTATTTCTGGTTATATACTCGATGATTGTGTATCTTTTTTTCAGAAACAAACAACCGTAAAGAAAAAACGTGTAATCCTTCCTAACACGGGATCGTTTAAATGCACAACTTGCAATAAGGAGTTTCGAATGAAGGCTACTTTTAAAGCACATATGAGGTTTCATACTAATTACTGTGTTTGTGAGGTATATACCCATACTATAGTATTAAATTGGATTCTAGAATCCTCAATAGAGAGGTCATATTATAGCAGTAGAGCTCCTTGTGAAAGAGTTCGTCCAGGGAAGTACTGCCATCTTACCTATTTCTGCCACCAAGCAGTAATTGCCTTTAATAGTAATTTAACTGCCTCCGTGGCCGAACGGTCACCATGCCGGACTGCCACGCGGAGGTCCCAGGTTCGATTCCCGGGCTGGGAGAAATATTTGTATGGCCTACATTTATTTCTCTCGTGAGTTTGGGTGTAATTTGTGGTTGTCTATGTGTGTGTCCCTGGCACCCGCGACACAGGGTTTCCCTAGTGCGGGGCTATGTTGAGTGTGTGCGTTATTATTATTTTATTATTATTAATATGAGCATTATCTGTTTTTGAAGGTTACGGGTGCTGGTGAAATTACAGGCACATGGGACTTGTCAACTTATGTCTCAGGGTGCCGGGCGCACTGGCAGTGCCCCTCAGAACTTTGCGATTTAAAGCTCTGAGTGGCACTGCAACTGTTATGGACAGGCGTGTAGCTTACCATCAGGCGCACACGACTAGTTCAACCCGTCTCTTTATATTATATTTAAAAAAGCACCCGTGATACAATCTGTAACATCATCGTGTCGCTTCTGGAGACGCATGATCTTTGAATTTTTCTTTATATAATATTTCTTTTGGAGTGACATAGTGTCCCGTCACTTGATATTATAAAAAAGAACTCTTAACTGCCCTTGCTGAAAATAACCACAGTTAACCTTATTCCAGTCTTGCGGAAAGAGATGTCGTAACAACAACCAATTGCAAGAGCACAAACGTGCCCGACACGGACTTGGCCGGATACACAAGTGCGCGTACTGCGAGTACAGTTCGGCAACAAAAGAGGCTCTCACTGTAAGTTAAATTTAAAAAAACTATAGTCTAAAGTCAAAGAATCATTTCGACCCTTCCTGCGTTAAGTATTATATGTCGAAATTGCCAATTTTGCAGAGGCGCGTTTTAAAGTTCTGATTCCCTCATCTAATAGATAATCTGACGGATATCTAGGATTTTGTAATACTCTATGTGAGTAACGAGTTTTGCGGAATAAAACAGAAATGCTAAAGTCACGTGTTATGCTCATTGCGGTGAATTCAGAGCTTTAAAACGCTCCCCTGTAAACTTGGCAATTTCGACATAGATACTTTATGTAGGACGGGTCGATTTATTACATAGGTAAAATAAATTTACACTTGAAAACGTCACATTTAAGCTACTGCTCGTTCACTACGCTGACCTCCCTGAGAAGAACGAGCAAGAAACTCTAGGGATTGCTCTTTTCAAATAAACTTAAATGCTATGGAATACACTTTGAATCAAATTTGTGTGGAATCTTTATTATCTTTATCTAACAAATACTCTTCAATTTTGTAATATCGCACTGCTATTACAATAGTGTTGTAACGCGAAATATGTGAAATTCAAGATTATATCATTGTTAAACTTAAAATTTGATTCTCTACACGTCAATACATACAACCGTCGTTAGAATTTTGTTAAAAACAAGTAAAAGATATCTACTTAACTAATTAACTCAAAATGAGACACGCTTTATGTGACCTAGTTCTGGCCAAAATTGTCCTTACTCAAAAATATGAAATTATTTTTACACTTTCATTTTTAAATATATATATTTGGCAAGTAGGAAATAACCTACACATAAACTTACACAGATCTTTCGCAGGAAACGAGTAATTAGTTTTTTTCACTATTGTATTAATAGTGCGAATGACTTTTTAATTCAAATACTTTTAATGTAAGTTTTAAACGTAGGAAATGATAATCTTAATATATGCTCCGGAATCTTGTTGTAAAAACGTATACAGTTACCCATAAAAGAATCGTTTACCTTAGTTAAACGAAATATAGTAGCAGTAGATGTCCTTGTGAAAGAGTCCAGGTCGTCCAGGGAACTACTGCCCTATAACGTTACCTATTTCAACCGTCAAGCAGTAGTGTGAGCATTACTATGTTCCGGTTTTGAAGAGTAAGGGTGCTGATGCAATTACAGGCTATTCAATTTATGTGGACGCAGTGATGAGGGACCTCGTAGACCCCAAACGAAGCCACCCTAATAATAATAATACGTGCAAATGTCCAATTTATTCTTTAATTTAGCTAAATTAACTTCCTCAATTCCGATCACTGAATATAAGTAATCGTGTATTATATGTGTTATTAAATATATGTATTTTTTTAAGATGAAGTAAAATGACAGTTAAATGCGCAAAAGTGTTGCCCACTTTTTTTTTATTCGGTTCACAAAACTGGATACAATTCAGATATAAACTACAAATATTTCATTTATGTAGTAACACGATAAGAATGTATCCTACTTGATGTGAACACAACATGCAAAACAGGCCAAAATAACTGTACAAGTATCATAATATTAAATAAGTGACAGTAACTCTAAATTTCAAGTATTTTAAGAAAACTCAACAAAGTCAGTCGTGTAGTTAACATAATAGACATTTTCTAATTGAGTTCCTAGCTGAGACAACAGAACCAGTGAAAATATCGAAATCAAGACGGATAACATTGTAAGAAGAACACATGCGACACATTGGACATTGCGAGCTGCTAGTGATTGCTGTCGATAAATATTTATCGACTATCGATTGAATATTGGTCACGCTTATGGAATAAATATCCTAACTTGTTTCATATGAATTATCATCGGCCCATTATTACTGCCTCTGTGGCCGAACGGTTACCATGCCGGAGTGCCACGCAGGGGTCCCAGGTTCGATTGTATGGCCTACATTTATTTCTATCGTGAGTTTGGGTGTAATTTGTGGTTGTCTATTATTGTGTCCATGGCTCCCGCGATACAGGGTTTCTATAGAGCGGGGCTATGTTGAGTGTGTGCGTTATTATTATTATTCGTCCAACAACTGGGCACAGGTTCATTTGAATTTACAATTTTTGTATGTTCGTACATACATGCAGTGTATTTAGACCTATATCTACTAAAAATACAAAAAGGAGATATTTTTAAAATTTTCGTTTCAATTCAATGATCCAATGTAGATAATCCAATCCGCCTGTTCTTATTAAAACGTATATGAATAAAAAATTGTTTTCGATATTAGCAGACCAACTGTCACAATAAGAATGAACAAGGCAATAACGCAATTAGTAATTATTAAAACGTCGTCGTAACATTCATAATTTCAAGACATTTTCAGCAAAATTTTACCTTCGACAGGTTTATCGATAGATTATGAAAAATCTATCGATAAACCTGTCGACAACTATTACATGGCTATTTAAAATTTCACGAAAACTGGCAACCCTGCTAATGTCATTTTACTCCGTCTTCAAAAAATACTATAATGGAATAAATTATTCGACTTCAAAACAGATCCATGAACGACGCCACACAGGGGAACGGCCCTACATCTGCGACCATTGTGGTGCCACATTCCACCGCCGCTCGAATCTCGTGCAGCATATCGCTATACATCTACCGGAGAAGAATTTCCAGGTAGGAAAGATATTGGTATAGATTAACATCGGTTGAACCGTGGATCAATAACTCAATATGACTGCTAATTTCCATACTACGGTGCCTCTACCACGAATTTACTATGACAGTTGTCGTTAACTACCGCGTAAATTAAGAGTCATATAGTCATGCATATGTCAAATAAATAAATGGTTGGATGGAATATAATCCATAGATTCCATAGAGCACAGCCATAGTCTTGATCACATAGGCCTCTCTGACATTTGGTCCATGGGTGAACTAAGGTCTAGACTAATTTGAGGCCAAAATTCAGTTCATATTAATTTAACCAGGTCGAAATTAGTTTCTTCAAGTAAAATTAAATTTCTCAAATATCGATACCAGAAGTATCGATTAACGTAAGGGACATTTTGTCGAAAATGAGTTACGTATATCATTGGATTCGGAAGTTCCCGCTCTATCGATTGGTATTATTAAAATTTAGGAATGCCCAATGTTTTAAAATATAGCATCCCTTACATTGAAAAACATTAAAAAAAGATTTTTAGTTGTGGCTTACTTTACTAATATTTTACGTGTAAACCGTCGAGCATAGTGTAAGCAGGAAGATATATAAAAAAATTACGTAAAGTAAGTAGTTTCGTTTATAGCATGAAAGAAGAGGAAATTCTAAGAAACTGCTCTAGACGCAATCAAAATTGGAGCAGACAGTAAAAAGTTATAGACAGATTTAAAGAAATAAAATAGTTTTTTGGCTCTCCTGAAAAACCGTGGTTTGTCCCTTACATTAATTGATACTTCTGCCCCCGTAGCATGGCTACGCATGATAAGCACGCGCTATTGGCTGTCTCAATCAAATCTAATTAAGATATATATATATATAGCATGATATATTTAGATAGCATGGCTATGCTACGGGGGCTGGTGTCGATATAACTGATATAGACTTCTTGCGGGTAACTTAAGTCAGTAGGTTCCTGCGGTAGCTGCGCGGTGGGGGAGGTGTGACAGTTTACGTCATAGTTATGTCGCGCAGCACAAGGGCTAAAATCAACAAGATTTTTCTGGTAATATTCAATAACAAGTTGATAGAAAAAAGTTCCAACTAAACATTGACTTACAAATAAATGGACGACGGGTCTAATACAAAAACCACGAAAAAAATGTCCCAAGTCAACCTATTTAAACGTAGTCATGTAAAGGAATATGAAAAAGCTAAAACGTTGAATTTAAATTGCAATGTCATCGCAGTATCGCGCTGTCAGTCGAACAAATGAAGACTAAAGCGGAGTTTGACGCTCTGTATACGATTTTAACGCCTTACAAGTTCGGACACTTTTTTAGCGCGGACCCGACGTCCATATAATTGTAAGTCAATGCAACTAAAGGAGAAATTGTTATGTGAAACGATAATAAAAAAAACTTTAATTGATAATTGTAATGAATACTCAAGCCATCTGGCACTGCGCAAGCTGTAGTGTTATAAAAACTATAAGGGCGCATTTATTCTACACAAATTTCATCGCGCTCTAACTGTCATGGCAAAATACGCTCTATTTGTTTAGCATTTACGTTTTAACTTAAATGAGCGTTCGGGCGCAGGCGGGCGAGGCTGGCTTGTCTTTGGTATTATTCAGAGGATATTAAATGTTGTTGCCTAGTAAATAGAATTCAGTTTCGCCATCAATGTACGGGAAAGTGGATTATAAAAATATTGTAACCAATTTATTAGTTGTGATTTATAAATAAACATTATTACTATAGTGTGTTCGGATGATTCATCATCCGGATTTGAAGGGCAACGGGTTCTGGTAAAGTTACAGGCACATGGGACTTGTCAACTTACGTCCCAGGGTGCAATGGCAATATGAGGGATATATCTGTGCGATTTAAATAATAATAATAATAATAATAATAACGCTCACAATCAACATAGCCCCGCACTAGGGAAACCCTGTGTCGCGGGTGCCATGGACACACACATAGACAACCACAAATTACACCCAAACTCACGAGAGAAATAAATGTAGGCCATACAAATATTTCTCCCGGCCCGGGAATCGAACCTGGGACCTCTGCGTGGCAGTCCGGCATGGTAACCGTTCGGCCACGGAGGCAGTTAAATTTACAGTATTTAAAGCTCTGAGTGACACTGCAACTTTTATGGACATGCGTGTCGCTTACCATCAGGGTTCCTATGAATAATACCGTGTGCAGCGCGACATGACTTACATAAACAAAATTTGTATTGAATTGATATTCAATTCTTTTTTGTGAAATTACTCCACTAGTTTGTTATATCGAGTTCTTAGGTTTTCGCGATTGTTACACATAGGAAATGAAACTATTACCACTCGGGTGGTTTGCATTAATATTAGACATAACTGGTTGAAGACTGTACCACCTCAGTCAACCGTGACCATGGGACCTGTAAAGGGCCCGAAACGTCGGTTTGTTTGAAAAAACAAATATACGCGATTTAAATCCGGAAAAATAGTTTCATTTCCTATAGTTTGTTATAATTAACAATAAAATAAAAAGATCGAACACTTAGAAAAAAATCCTTCGATGCGGCCGGATTCGAACCGACGTCTTCTAGCATACCGTGCCAGACGCTATGCCAACTAAGCCACGGAACGAACCAGCGGACCTCGCGAATTTTTCTATATGCTTGTTTGTCGGATCTTTGTATTTTTAAACGACATAAACTGTCATTTCCCTCGCATCGCGCAGCTACCTCAGGAACCTACTCAGTTAAGCGGTAGGCCTTGTAATAGTATCTGTATCTATGAGAAGTAAAACTATATTCTCAGATGTAAAATCGCCCATATTAGCATTTTCAAACAAACCACAAAAAAGATATTTGACATAACTGATCAATAACCAATAATCAGACCAGTCAATCGTGACATCGGAAACGTTGGTTAAGGGAGTCACCACATTGATTCCCGGTTAGAAAAACCTTTATGTCTTTACAATAAGTGCGACAAAGACTATACGGTAGTATAGCCCCTTGTGAAAGAGTACGCCCAGAGAAGAACTGCCATTTTACGTATTTTTACCGCCATGCAGGTGAAATTACACATGGGACTTGTCAATTTATGTCTCAGGTCTTTGCGATTTAAACTGTTACGAATAGAAGTGTCGCTTACCATCAGGTGCACGACTTGATCGTCCCGTCACTTGTTGTTATCACCACTGACGCGAAACTACATAAAAGGCGGCTAAGTGACAAAATATTTTAAAAAACATAAGGCCTCGTTCCCACTATACCGTATCGTCGAATTTGCCGGGTCGGTAATACTGCCGGAAAGGCCAGTGGCTGTACAATTTATATGAAGCTATTCACATTACGCCGGACCTGGCAAGAATGTCGAGTCCGGCACTGTTGCCGGAATGTTTGTCACTGCGGACCACCGGCAGAACGCCCGGACCGGAGTAACGTGAACGAACTTGCTCAGTCTTGCTCCGGTTTCCCTGTCCCCCGCTCGCCCCACCGTACTGTTACGGAGCGGATCAGGAAACACTTTTTACCCAAAACACCCCTTTTATTAAATTATAAAATTAAGGAAAAGAAATGACAATTAAAACGATGTATCGCGACGGCGTCCAAATTCAATCTGTCGGCAGCGCTTTCAGTTTCCTATTGCATCCCGTCAAAATGCAATAGGAAACTTTGGTGGGAAACAGGACAGCTCGACAAATTAGTTTTTTATATATTACTTACGTACTCCCCGCGTGTCATTTTGGTGTTCATCCAAAGAGGATGCTGCCATTCGAACATAATTGAAGAGCTTTCATTTGTCATTTCTCAGTTGGCCCCATTGACTTACAATTATATGGACGTCGGGTCCGCGCTAAAAAGTGTCCGCACTTGTAAGGCGCTAAAATCGTATACAGAGCGCGACAGTCTTCATTTGTTCTACTGACAGCGCGATACTGCGATGACATTACAATTTAAATTTCGAATAGGTTGACTTGGGACATTTTTTAGTGGTTTTTGTATTAGACCCGTCGTCCATTTATTTGTAAGTCAATGGTTGGCCCATTAATCTTTCAAAAGTTCCAAGTTCAAATCTTTCGCAACAACTCCACAATTTCGTCGTCCATCGTGAGCAGTGGCCTGAATTCGACTAAGGTGAAGACTTTAGTCTCCGGCTTTCTTGCTGGATCCGGCTTAATGTGAACACCCGGTTTCCCGGCAAATTCGCCGGTTGATAGTGGGAACGCGGCCTAACCTAACCTAACGCAGTTTTAGAATAATGAAATTGTTTAATGATGTTTCAGCTATGCGTCGTTAGGGCAAGTTCCGATAAGTCGAAAACGTTAACTAATTTTAACTGTTTTTAAAAAGAGAATTTTGTGCTCTATCTTTTGCTATTTAAAACGGATATTTGCCATTTGTTAATTAGCCGTCTTTTAGTTAGTGGGCGGCAGTCTTATTACATGAACACTAAGATTTTTCTGACCGATTAAATGCGATTCCATGTCTATAAGACTGTTGACTGTCTAATATAGGCGATTTTGAATCCGGAAAAAACTAATTTCATCTCCAATGTGTAACAATGTCTCGATATCTCCCACGTAAGTTGTTGTAAGTCAAAATACAATTTTTTGCTTTTTAACTTAAGAGGGAGCAGAGGAAAAATTCCTAATCTTCGATTTGATTTTAGAGGGGTATATCCACTTTAAAGTTAAAAATAAAATATTGTATGAGTAACTACACGATATATTCAAGCATAGACACTAATCAGAAACATAGAACAATAAAGTTTCCTCGATAGATAAAAATCACGAAATGACCTCTAATTTTCACATTTTTTCGATTCATCCTCGAAATGCTGCAGATTTTTAGGACAAAAATTAGATAATTAATTATATTTATGCATGATCGACAACTGTCCCTACGGATTTTTTTTTAATCCCTTTAGTTTTAGAGTTATTCCGCGAATTAGATAAAACGAATTTGGTACTTTTAATGCGCAAAATCCAACATCTCCTGTCGCGTGTCACGCGAACTTCAGGCATACATTTGTCTCACAAATGTGGGCGGAGCCAACGTCAAAACTTTTTTGGCATGCTCCCTCTTAATTAATTTACTTTTTTTTACGTAAGTTAGAGGCTTCATGTTTCAAAGTAAACATGTGTTTTCTTTAGTTTTAAAAATGGAACCTATAATATAAATAAAAAAGAATATATTGAAGTTAAAAACCAAATAATGGTATTTTAACTTACAACAACTTACGTGGGAAGTATCGATCTGTACTAAATTTATTAGGACTCTGTATGCATCGGATGTATACACGGTTATTTTTAAAATACCAACAACCTCATAGGACTATTACTAACATCATAAACAACAACTTTTGCCCATTGACTTTTAATATTCACCAGATTTTACTTTCATACAAAATTTAAACGGCATCAACTCTGTGCAGGTCGGGTGTGGGAGGCGCGCGAAGGAAAACTTAAAAGTTGATTATTGATAAATCTATTGTTTTGTGAAAAGTCATAGAACAGTTCTTGTTTATGATTATTTTTAAAAATCAACCTGTATATTTTATAGTCTATCTTTTTTGAAGATGAAGTAAAATGACAGTTCATTGCGCAAAAGTGTTGCCCGGTTACAAGCAGCTAGTGATTGCAGTCGATAAATATTGTATCGACTATCGACTGAATATTGGTCACGCTTATGGAATAAATAGCCGAAGTTGTTTCACTTCAATCGTCCTTGACCCATTATTCATCCAATTACTGAGTACAAATGCATTTGAATTGTCAATTTTTGTAAATTCATACTTACATACACAAAATTTTATCTTTTACAATCTATCGATAAAGCTATCGAGAACAACTACATGACTATTTAAAATTTTATGAAAACTGGCAACCCTACAAATGTCATTTTACGCCGTCTTCAAAAAAAAAAACAGACTGTAACAATATGTAAATTATACAGTGCGACATGTGCCCGAAGAAATTAAAATCGCGCAAGTTTCTTCAAATCCACAAGCACAACGCGCACACAGGGCGGCGTTACGGTTACCTTTGTCCAATCTGCAAACACCGCTTCGAGAAACCCAACAAAGTCCGCGCTCACGCAAGGCGCGTTCACGGTCTACCCGACGAACAACACCCGCCCATTGTCAGAGTGCAGCTTTAGACATGCTTTTGGATACTTGCTAGGTTAAATTCAAAGTTAAAACATAACACCATGTAACACGATTTTTGTTTCGGTAATGGTGGCTTTGATACTGCCGTTCCGGATCAGTGTTTCTGTTCAAACCACTTTTATCGCAATATCTAACATGGCGAGCGCTGCGACCAATGACTACAAAAGATTTAACATAGTGCCAAATATGGCTGCAAGGTCACAACTGATTTTAAAACATTTTGACTTTTATCAACGTAAAAATTGAGCGCGACAAACGAGATGAAAAGAAATAATAAAAATTGATATTTATAATTCATTGAAAAAAGGCGGTGAGAACATTTTTAATACAGTTCAATACATGAGAGTAATTAGAAATACGTAAATAATAACTAATATAATGTAAAATATCTAAAAACAGAAACTAGAAAAACCCGACATTTTTTGTTTCATCGTTTTCGCGATGATGATTAAACGACAAAGATAGCTTATACAAGTCGAACGTTCTGAGAGCCTGTCTTAGAAATTATAAAAAAAAAAACTGTGGTCACCCGCCATGTTTTTTCAGAAATGTAAAATGTTGTATATATAATATTAAGAATTTTAATGCGTAAATAAATAATATAAAAAAAAATTACATATTATTCACATAATGCCATAATCAGTATTTTATTTGTAGTGCAATAATGTAAAACGAAATTATTTATTAATGATTGTAATCTAGGAATAGTCATAAAATACCTTCGCTTTTACTTAATAGATACTAAATCTGACTAATGACACCAGGCACTCACTACGACGAAAAAGAGAGAGGTGAAAATAACGTTGCCCGTCATGTGCAGTCGTGCGGAGCCGAATGCTCATAAATAAAAGACACTCAGCGGTAGGCACTTATTGCCTAACCTTCAGCGAGAGACGGAGCCCTGTTTTATTTTAAAGTGACTATAGTACAGCGCCCTAAATCAAGTAAATAAATCAGGTTTTCCACACTAAATATTCATAATATTCTGCTAGTATATAACGGGATTGTAATCTTCATAGCGCATCGATGGCATGCGATAAGAAGATTAGAAACACTGTAATGCTTGCTGAGACACACGTCACTCGGTGAGACATACACTTGACAAGTTTACTAGCAGTATTCGTCCAGGGAAGTACTGCCGCCATGCCTATTTCTGCCGCCAAGCAGGCGTTTATTCCCATTTATTCTGTTTATAAATAGCCAGTTTTTTAGTTTCACAGAACTACTGACAATTTTCTCTCCCACTGGTCCTGTGTACGAGTTTTCAGTCTAGAGTTGTACCATAGAACAAAAGGGAAGACGATGCCAATACTTCTATCAACAGAACTAGTGGGAATAATCGGACAGAACCGACAGAACTACTGGAAACCGTAAATCCCATTTGTCCTGTTAACGGAACAAATGGGAAAAAAGTAACAGTAGTACCGACAACAGAACTAGTGTAGATAAACGCAAGCAGTAATGTCATCGAAATTACAGTCACTTGGGACTTGTCAACTTATGTCTCAGGGTGACGGGCGCAGTGGTAGTGCCCGTAAGATTTTTGCTATTTAAAGCTCTGAGTGGCACTGCAACTGTTATGGATAGGCGTGTCGCTCACCACGAGGCGCACGACTTGGTCGTGCCGTTACTTAGTATTATAAAAAAAAATTAATTAAAAATCACAGTGTTGTGACATTCGACATTCAATGGCTAAGGATTTACACACAAAACGATCTATATTCATGTCACAAAAACCGTCTCAAAAAATTACTCATTATATCCAAAAGCATTTCTATATTGCATTTAATAAAAAAATTACATGTATGCCAAGTGAATATTGTACTCAAAACGAACGGGCCCGATGGCCATCTTGGTTTTTTTTAGGCATGAGCGTGTTTAAAAAAAATGATATAAAATTTTTAAGTCAAGAAACTAAACCACCACAGGTAGTCCAGTCAATTGCAAGATTTCTAATTCAATTTCGTCTATTAATAAAATGAAAAAAAAACCGCTCATTGACATCTTTCATGGTTAATAAATAAGACAAATAGTGAAAAATATGAATGGCGAAAATTAAATAAATGAAAAAAATATATATTGGTAATGGCACCGGGCTGTCTCGCCTTATTTTTTTTAGCTTGCTGTTCAAATAACATACAGCCCAATTTCGTTTTGATTACTATATTTCACTGAAAATATTCGTAATTAAAAGAGGCGGGTGTTAGAGACCACGTGACCTGTCCATAAGGTAAGGCATTGGCACTAAGGTATATATTTTTTGTACACACACGCCAGCATATCAAGCTGCACATTGACGTATCTTGTTCCATTGCACTGGAGGCGATTTTCGAACAAAAATGTGTAGTCTGATGTGCCGTTGTCCGTACAATATGTACTTTTAAAAGATTTTTTTTTATTTAGGCACTAGTGGTTGACATTATGATTCCTTTAAAATACAGGGTGATACCGAAAATATTTGCGAGATTATTAAAGAGTAATTTTTCTAATTATGAAAATAATAGAAATAAAAAAAAAATCTATTTTAGTGTTTATTAATGCGAGCTGCTTGTCTCGTACAGTAATATGTCTGGTGATATCAGTGAGATGATGCAGGAAGATGTCAAAGACGCTTTAAAAATAATACTCGACCGATACCACGGAGTAACTTTGTTGTACTGAAAAATTATAATTTATAAATTTTGCGCGTGCCCAAAGTAGGTCGCTACGTTGCACAATAATATACGTTGACCCGTACAACTAGGATCTTTCTGGTTTCATGACGCTAACTAAAGACTATACATAGACAGCTCCTCTGGTAAGGTCACAATCCTTCAAGTGTCTTGTCTTCATTTAAAAAAAAATACTTTACGACCCAAAATGGGCAGCTGACTTTCCGACTCAGTGACACCCATAATAAGTTACTTATAATAACAATGCTACGTAAACGGTGTTGAATTCACTGTTTGTTAACTAAATGTTTGTTGATCCTATTAAAAAAAAAATGATGTGCCACTGTTTGTTGGCCCCAATAAACAAATTATTAAAAAAAAATGGCTTTTACGATATTTTGGTACTTTTGGTCAGATTAACTTGAGAAAAACTATTTTTTTACATCATTACGTATGTTTCATAGCTTCCCAAATTCGTCCTACCGGCCTTCTCGTCCGGCAAAGCATTGGACCACCTAGGTCGTAAAACTTGTTTTAATGCTTGGAATATCTTTTTGAAAATCTCGCAAATCTTAAGTAGGCACCCCGTATAATCGTATATAGTTCAAAATGAAACTTATTAAGTTAAAGAGTTATTGCTATGTTATTTGAATAAAGCTATTTAATATTTGTCGACTGCTAGTGACTGGTATAAAGTTAAAATTACTTAATAATAAAAATGACAATCACTAGTGCCTATACCTTATCTTTTCATTTTGAATTTCTTATTAAGAGTCTATACTACCTTAAACAGCTTTGGTTGATTCCGCATAAAAATATATAGTATAATCTCAGTACAGAGTACTAAAAAAACCTACCTCAAAAGTACGTGGAATTATGTCTATTTGCTAAGTTTTATTGAAATATCCCCCCAGTTCGTCACTATACAGGACTTGACACTGGAGATAATAATAATCAGTTCTCACTACTCAAAGTATATTGAGAGAAAAACGCCTTGAATTGGAGAAATAACAAAATCAACCATTAAAGTAATTGCTCCTAAATTAAAGTTAGGCGCTATTTATAAAAATCAATCTTCATGCGTGAACAGCCACCCTTAAAGGTGGATGATTTTCGAAATGAAATGGAAACACTATGGAAGTACCCCCTTTCCAACAAAAAAAGAATCATGCAAATCGGTTCACAAATACCGGAGTTATCGCGTAACATACAAAAGTACAGTCGAATTGAGAACCTCCTCCTTTTTTGAAGTCGGTTAAAAATTGACGATATACACTGACCAGTATGCGATGTGAAAACATGATTTCTAAAAATATTCACGATAGAAAAAAAAACACAAACTTACCTCGAAATTTTTCAGAAAAACCACTGTATTCCACTTACTTTACGTACATACTACACGTACTTTACATATACCAATGATTTTTTAAATATCAACTAAACGAAATATAACACTTATAGTATACGATCTTAGAATAATAACGCATAGAATGATAGTTTCATATCAAACGAACTGTCACAAGTGAGGCAAAAACCAAATTCATGTAGGCGTAAGCAACTTGTAACTACGCTCGTCGGCACGCACACAAATATACAAATAATGATGCCATGGAATAACATTTCCCTCAAAAGTGGGGAAATTGTATCTTGCTTAACTCATCATTAAGTTAAAGGTGCCTACAGATTTGCCCGACATTGTCGATCAGGTGCCTACAGATGTGCTCGGTTTTGTCGATGAAAAACGAATATAGCACTTATTTGTAAATCCAAGATGGCGGACACGATTTTTTCAAAATATGCTATATGGGTATCCTTTTCGAGGTATTTGGGGATGCTCATTACGAATATGGCACTCATTTCTAAATCCACGATGGCGGACACGAGTTTTCAAATAAATGCAATATGGGTATCATTTTCGAGGTACTTGGGGATGCTCATGACGAATATGGCACTCATTTCTACATCCAAGATGGCGGGCACGATTTTTCAAAAAAATGCAATATGGGTATCATTTTCGAGGCACTTGGGGGTGCTCATTACGAATATGGCACTCATTTCTAAATCCAAGATGGCGGGCACGATTTTTTCAAAAAAATGCTATGTGGGTATCATTTTCGAGGTATTTGGGGATGCTCAATGTGAATATGGCACTATTTGTAAATCCAAGATGGCGGGCACGATTTTTCAAATAATGGCAAGTTGGGTATCGTTTTCGAGGTATTTGGGGGTGCTCATTACGAATATTGCTTTTGTTTGAACTGTCGTGTTTGCCATCTTGGATTTAGAAATGAGTGCCATATTTGTATTGAACATTCCCAAACATCTCGAAAACGATACCCAACTTGCCATTATTCGAAAAATCGCGCCCGCAT